TCAGTGGATAGAGTGTCGGTCTGCGGACTGAAAGGTCACGGGTTCGATTCTGGTCAAGAGCACATGCGTGGGTTGCAGCTCAATCCCCTGTAGGGGACATGCAGGAGGCAGCCAATCAATGATTCTCTCTCATCATTGATGTTTCTATCTTTCCCGCTGCCTTCCTCTCTGAAATCAATAAAAAATATTTTTAAATAAATAAATAGCACAAAACAAAAACAATAACAGTAATGAAACCGTGAGTGACCAAGGATTTATCTTAAGAGTAAAAGGATAATTCAAAATTAGAAAAATGTATCAATGTAATCTAACACAGATAAAGGAGATAAATCTTAGAGCAATTTCAATTAAAACAGGGGGAAAAAACCGCACATCTTAAAAAATAATAAAACCTTAAGTTAGGAATAGGGAGGAACTCCCCTGACTTGATAAATGGTCTCCCTGTTGTTTGAAACAGGACCATAGCAAAGCTGTGATTAACATACCCACAGTATATTCACATTAGTACACATTTTTATTTTACTGTTTTTACAGAGAGGAAGGAAGAGAGAGAAACATCAATCAGTTGCCTCCTGCACATGCTCCAGCTGGGGATCGAACCCTGAACCAGGACATGTGCCCTGACCTGAAATGGAACTCGCAACCCCTTGTGTAGGGGATAATGGCCCAACCAACTGAGCCACACCGGTGGGGCAGTACACAGCTTATTTAGTATCTGTGAAATACTTTCCAAGAATCTTCATTATATTCATTTAAAATATCTAGTTATATTTGCTGTTTATTTTGTTATTCAAAAGTGACTGTTAAAATGAAAGTAATTGTTTCCTTTGCTCCCTGCCCCAACACCTCTCTTCCCCCTTCTCTGGAGTCCAATAAGATTTCTGCCCTTCTCATTCTATTGCTTTGTCTTGTCAAAATCAATGATGACCCACTGCAGTCCCAGTACTGCAAAGAAAGGACACGTGTTAATTCTAGGTATTTACACTATTTGAGTTATCAGTATCGTGGCACAGCTGAACACTTCCTTTCTTAACACTTTTCTTCACTTGGCTCCCAGGACACCTCATTCTCATTGTTTTGCTCCTATTTCACTGCCCTATTTGTCTCTGTAGCTGGTTCCTACTCAACTCTCTGGCTTAACATTGGCACTCCCTGGGCTACAGTTTGCACTAATTCCCTTGGTGATCTCATCTAGCCTCATGACCTTAAATGCTATTTATATGCTGAGGCCTCCCAGATTTTTTTAAAAAATATATTTTATTGATTTTTTACAGAGAGGAAGGGAGAGGAATAGAGAGTTAGAAACATCGATGAGAGAGAAACATTGATCAGCTGCCTCCTGCACACCCTCTACTGGGGATGTGCCCGCAACCAAGGTACATGCACTTGACCGGAATTGAACCTGGGACCTTTCAGTCTGCAGGCCGATGCTCTATCCACTGAGCCAAACCGGTTAGGGTGAGGCCTCCCAGATTTATATTGGATTTATGGTTAATAGATTTTCAACAAGGGTGCTAAGACAGTTCCACGGGAAAAGATCTTCTCAATAGATGGTGCTGGGATAACTGGATATCCACAAGCAAAAGAATAAGGGAAAGACATTAATCAAAGAACGTATATGCATAGGCCATGGACACAGACAATAACGTGGTGAAGGCCTGGGGTGGGGTGGGGCTGGGTGGAGCAGGGCAAAAGGAAGAGAACAGGGGATGTCAACCACACACACACACACACACACACACACAGAGAGAGAGAGAGAGAGAGAGAGAGAGAGAGAGAGAGAGAGAGAGAGAGAGAGAGAGAGAAATAAATAAGGAAAAGAAAAGGGAAGAAGAAGACAAGCAAAACATCTGGTTAGGAGCCTTTACCAGTGGTCCAGGTTAAAGATGACTGAGTGATGATGACAGAGATGGAGAAACATGAACAGATTCAATATGTATTTTGGAAGTTAATGCAGTGTTTCTGAAAACATCTCAGACATGATGGTATACATAATTTGGATATGAAAAATTTATTAGAAAGAATATAACTAACACATCAGACCGATGATTTACTGAATATTATTCCTTGGGATAAGACAGGTCTATTAAACTAAAATAATTAAATAATAGCCTATGTGGTAAAAATCATGAAGCTAGTTTAGGATGCACTGTTAATGGATGTGATGGCACGGTAAAGGGACAGGAGGGGTAAACAATGTTTCCCTGTGTCCCAGTTAATAACTGAGCATAGAGTAATGAGATGAAGAGGCGAGTTGGGGTTGGGAGAGTTGAGGTTCAACTGTGGGTAGTTGAAAAGTCAGTGAGAGGTCCGCGATGTGCAGCTCGAAGGGGAGTTGGAATGAAGAGAACTGCTACGGTATTTAAAGCCACTGTAGGTGAAATTACTTAAGAAGAGAGAAAAAGGGGCCAGGGCTAAGCTCCAAGAAACTCCAAAATTTAGAGGTCATATGAAAGAAAAGTTAGAAAAGGAGCGTGAGGATAGGTTTGTGAGGTAGAAGGAAAACGTTGCCTTATATAAATAGGTCTGTACTTTAAGCAAATGTTTTGTCCATAGGAACTAATGACTTTTTCTATTTTATTGCACCCATGAGAGTGGACAAAGTTGAACTGAGTAAATGCTGGTTGAAAGGAAATGTACATTCTTGTCTATAGGCCTCTTCACAGCTTCTCCAGGTCCCAGTGACCATTAAGGACAGAGATCCCAACTTTTAGATCTTATCATTTCTCTAAGAGGGAATGGTTGACATATGAAAGCAGGACTACTTTATTAGGCAAAAGAATTATTAAAAGAGTCTCTTAACTTGGAGTCACCATATCAGGATAAAGTTTCTAGGTGATAGGTATCTACAAAAGAGAATTAACAAGTTGCTTCAGGGACAAATGGAAGGGAAACAAGTCAATCTCCTGCACAGAGTGTGACCTAATATCACAGCTGTTACTCTGATGGTAATTCCTGCCTACTATTTATAAACTAAGACTCAACATAAAAGCACAAGATGACAAAATGTTCTAAACACATACAAAATAAAATGATCTAAAGGTCTAAAATGTGTCCAATAGGTAAAATTTAAGTTTATCTTTCTAAAGTATGCTAAAGTTACGCATGTGTGTACACACAAAGGTAAAAATGAAATAAAAGGAAGACATAAAGAATTTCTGCATGAGGGAGCACCTTCTAGTTGCTAGATGGGATGCTGACTCTTTCATGAATTACCTAATAAAGTCAATTAGATCTTAAAAAAAAAAAAGAATTTATAGAAAGAATCAAAGTGCTAAATTAAGATGCTATAAAAAGAAAAATAATTTGAAAGACTAAAATGTAAGGAGTGATAAAACATGCAACAAAAAGAATAAAATGTCGCCGAACTGGTTTGGCTCCATGGATAGAGCATCGGCCTGCGGACTCAGGGGTCCCAGGTTCGATTCCGGTCAGGGGCGTGTGCCTTGGTTGCGGGCACATCCCCAGTGGGGGGCATGCAGGAGGCAGCTGATGGATCTTTCTCTCTCATTGATGTTTCTAAATCTCTATCCCTCTCCCTTCTTCTCTGTGAAAAATCAATAAAATATATGTTTAAAAAAAAAAGAATAAAATGTAAGGAGTAAAAGTCTAGGGACTAACTGATAAAAAGTTAAAAGCAAAAAAAAACAAACAAAAAAACCCCCACACACAAAACCCGTAAGTATTAGTTAAAAGACCAAGAATTAAATAAAAAACACAGATAAACCGAGTAAAATAATATTAAAAAGTCGTTTCTAAAATTAGAAGAATCCACTCCAGTGTCCATCGATAGATGAATGTATAAATAAAATGTGGTATAGACATATAATGGAATATTATTTAACCATAAAAAGGAATAAAGTTCTGATATATGCTACAACATGAACCTTAAGAATATTATGCTAAGTGAAATAAACCAAACATAAAAGAGTAAATATTATGATTCTACTTACTATTATGAATTATCTAGAATAGGCAAATTCATAAAGACCAAGTAGATTAAAGGTTACCAGGGGCTCAAAAAAGGTAGGCTATTGCTTAATGGGTGTATGTTTTTAGGTATTGAAAGGGTTTTGGAAATAGATAGTGGTGATGGCTGTACAACATTGTGAATGAAATTAATGTTATTAAATTACACTTAAGGAGGGTTTAAATAGCAAATTTTATATGATGCATATTTAACTACAATAAAAAATGAGGAAGTAAAAACAGAGTAAGAAGAAAAATCAGTATGCAACAAAACAGTTAAAAACCAGAAATTAATAAAATATTAGAAGTATACAAGCATAAGGTAGGATAGGTATTTCAAAGCAGCAGCAATATAAATAAATAACTCAATCTCAAACAAGTAGGATGAACATATAATTTACCATCCTAACCAGGACACTTTAAGAGGAAAGGAGACACTATTAATAATTACACAGGGACAGCAGGTGTAGATGGGACCATCCCAGGCAAACCAGGATGTGTTACTCTACATATAAGGGCAGTTGGGTTCTCAAGGCAGACGTCATGAATGCAGATTGGGGTCTGGCCAAAGCACAATAGTCTGAAAGCATCTTCCTAAAGGACCCAAGTGGAAAAAAAAATGCAAGTCTTTTTTTCTTTTTCTTTTCCTTCCCATTTTTTTTTTTTTACACAGAAGTAATACACAAGTACATGGCCTTTACTGAAGTTTACTAATTTGAAAACAATTACTATAATATTAGATTTTATTAAGAGCTATTACGGTATTCTAGGAATTTGAGAAAACTGAATTATACTTTGAATTACATTGGTAGGCACACTAAGGAATTTCTAAGGTGAATCATTACATGAGTCTGTATTTTTATATATTAAATTAGAACTCTATAAATATATATATTCTTTTATACTTAATTTGACTATAGACAATTTGATTATAGACAATTATAGATATTAAAAAAAATCAAACTAGAATTATCTTTAGGCTAAAATTAATCTTAATGACCTACAAATAGGTAAACTTAAACAGTCCGTACCTTACATGAGAAGCTCCGACTTGGGATGTTTCTTGCTAACTCTGATATCTTGGGCTTACTCTGCAGACACTTGGTTAGGTGATATTTTTTCAATTTTATTCTACTGTAATAATGATCAGCGAAGTTACAGTGATTCAAGTGCTGTTTCTGCACGCATTTCCCAAGGTGAGGAATACTATACTTCAAAGCCTGGAGAAATAATTTGCTCTTCTGCTGCATGATATCAAAGTCCCTGGTTTATGCTCGCTTTGGGGCTGCCAGCACACGTGATTTCATAGGTCTGATTACACAGTAGTGGGTTCTCAGAGTACCTACAGTCCGCAGTTCTTATCCCCCCTTCAGGGCCATGCACCCCTCGGGTAATGAATAACTGCAGACAGCTGAGAACCCGGTTTAAAAATATCTGAAAACGCGTATAAGTTAAAGTTTCATTCAAATCATACTTCTTGGCAGGTGTGACAAAAATGTTTCATTTGTAAAGTCAATCCTATCGCGTTCAAACTATGCAGCACTGATTCTGGTACCCATAGGGGAAAACTAAAAAAACAAACAAAACACAAAACACACACACACAACAAAACAAAATAAAAATTTGCAAATAAGTACATGGAGCTAATGGGGGCATCTCAGGGACTCTGAGGGTTTTTAAAAGGCAAAATGACTTTGATTTTACATAAGGACCTGACAGAGTAGCTATTATGAGAACATCCTAATGAACATTTTACAGGTGAGCAAACCGTGGCTCCGGGAAGTTTAAGCAATTGCCCCAAGTGACTTGGAGTAAGTAGTAGAACATAAAAGTCCAAAATGGTTTGGCTCCAAATCTTGTACACACAGGGGAACGATGGGACATATGGTTGACTTTCCCATTAGAAAGGAATTTAGCTAAACAAACAAAATCCCTTCAGGATGCACAGATAAAATGTGAGAGCATCTCGGATTTGTTTGGGAAGTTGGTTCTTGCTAACTTATCAAGGCAATTAAAACTAGTAAGTAGTTAATAGAGAGGTCTGGGTTCAGGTCTTCCCTCCTGCACTTTCTACCTGTGCCTCCATTTCTTCTTCTGCAAAACTGAGACAACGGCACCATTTACCCTATGGAATGGATACGTTAAGCTCTTAATCCAGCGCCTGGCACGCAGTAACCACCCATCACATGGTGACTACTATTAGGACAGGAAAATCTAGATGCTGCACAGCGCCGAGTGTCCTCCTGCAGTATCCCCACGGCCCTCGGTCATCGAAGGCACAATCCTGCGTCAGTTTTACTCCAGCTCCGATGAGCTCCCAGGCCAACGCCCCCGCCTCCCTCCATCTCTGTGTCGCAGCAAAAATAATGGGCGAGTGAGAATAGGGGGATCAGTAGCAAAATATGTAGAAATATGCAAATCACCGAAACCACTGGATCCACGCGGGCAGCCTCCATCCACCCACCTTTCATCCGCAGGGAGAAGGCGCTATGCAAGGCTAGGGATGGGGGTGGGGCCGATGAATGGGTGCTCCCGGGAGAAACGGCGTTTTCCCAGTGCAGCGCTCCACCCCAGGGGTGAGGCGATCTGAGTGCAGGGGGAGTGGTACACCGTGTCCCCGGCAGTGGAGGGACACGGCCAAGAAGCAAGGACCAAGGGGCTGAGGGGGAGCTGGGTGGGGGAGAAACGGGAAAAGGGGAGAGACCCCCAGCATGCGCGGCCCGTACCTGCGCCCACGGAAAGGCGCTCTGCCTCCGGACGCCGAGACGAGTGAGGGCCGGCGAGCAGCCCGCAGCTCTCGGGAAGGAGCGAAGGTGCGGCCTCGGGCGCGTCCGGCGAGGTCTGCGCGCTAAGCCCGCAGGACCGCAGCCGCCCGAGCGCCGCCCCGGGCTGGTGTGCAGCACGCCACCCACGCACCCCCCGCCCGGCACGTGCGCGACGCAGGTTCCGCCATCTTTCTTGTGGGCACGGACGGCTTTCCGGTCGTCTCCTGGGCTCTCTCACCCGCAAAAAGACAAGCCTTTTGGTTCTTTGCTCATATTCCGAGCTCGGGATGTGGCCGGGGAGAAGAACACACACAGGGGCCGCGGCGTACTAGCTCCGCCACAGCCCCCTCGCCCTCCGCTGCGCCCTCACTCAACGTGGCCGCCGGCAAAATGGTGCAATGACAGGCCCAGCGCGGGCCTGGTTGTCATGGAGACGCGAAAACCGGAAATGCGGATCGCGAGGAGCTTTCGGGCCGTGGGAGGGAGGACCGGCGTCACAGGTCCTGGCAGGGAAGACGCCGGCAGGTCCTGGCAGGGAAGAGTCGTGTTGATGGCAGCTCGTGGGTAGGCGGCACTGGCGGGATGGAGTCTCGAGTCCCAGACGCCGGGGCCAGCGAGGCTGAGCGCGCCTCGGGCGAGGGCACGGCCGGCGGCCGCGCTGCTCCGGGCCCCGCCGTGTCCTCGCCCTTAGGAGCCGCCCGGTGGAAGCTCCTGCGGCAGGTAAGGCAGAGCCCACCCGCCTCACCTTTGCACGGGGCTCCTCCCCTCGCTTGGTGGGGTGTGCGATCGGCAGCTATGCTCCCCTCACAGTTTCGTCGGGAGCCACCCCAGAGGTGTCTCCTTGCTTCCCCTAAGGGTCCCATCAGAAGAGGGGAGCCAGGTGGGGTTGCGCGGGAAGGGGCAGCCCACACTCGAGTTCCTGGGAAACTCCGAGCGAAGTAGACAACCTCTTTCTAGAGTCATTTGCTTGCACCTGCCAGCTCGCGGGTCGGATGGGCGGGACCGCTCCCCTCTGCCCCCATCGCTTCTTTCCTGCTTCTGTTTTAGGTCCTTTCCCAGGTTTCTTCTCGCTGCTTATCTCCCAGCCTGGTTCTAGCTCCTTGTCTTGGGGACCCGCGTGGTTGCCTGTGTTGGGAGTTGGACGTTGCACGCGTTGCCGCGGTTTCTTCCGCGACCGCGGGGCGTGGAGGGAGCCGCGCGAGCCGCCTCCCACTCTTCTCCTTTGGGGATGTAAGAGTTACATGGGCATCTCGTAGTGCGCGGCGATGGGCGAGGTTCTGGCCGTCCCAGGTGGAGTCGTTTGCTTCCTGGCGGTTATCTCGTACCTCAAAGTTGCTGCTATTGGCTCCTAACTGCAGCCGTGCGCAGGCTTGTCCGAGTTCCGATGTGACATCACGGACTGTGCAAACTGCCTGAAGTGACGTCTGTTTGTCCTTGTGCCTCTGCCCGAGGCTGCCCGCTGAAAACTGGACTCAGGGGACACTTTCCATTTCTGACGTCTTTCCAGAAGAGCTTCCCAGCTCTTGTTTCCTGGAGATTGTGCGGTTAGGACTTGGGGGTTTATTTTGTTTGCACTTACTTGGTTTGCAGAGTCGCCTTTCCGTATGGTGGCCTTTCAGTGCTGTCATGGCATAACTCAAGAGTATTTCTTTGTTGGTGCACTGGAAGTCTTCCCAGAGCTGGTTTTGCTGCTAATGTTACAAATCTATATTCTATATGATAAAAGCCTAAGCAATCATAGGACAGAATGACCAGAACGACTGGTCGCTATGACGTGCACTGACCACCAGGGGCAGACGCTCAACGCAGGAGCTACTCCATTGATGGCGAACCTTTTGAGCTCGGCGTGTCAGCATTTTGAAAAACCCAGCTTAACTCTGGTGCCGTGTCACATATAGAAATTTTTTGATATTTGCAACCATAGTAAAACAAAGACATATTTTTGATATTTATTTTATATATTTAAATGCCGTTTAACAAAGAAAAATCAACCAAAAAAATGAGTTTGCGTGTCACCTGTGACACGCGTGTCATAGGTTTGCCATCACTGAGCTACACCCTGGTGGTCAGTGTGCTCCCACAGGGGGAGCACCACTCAGCCAGAATGGGGCTCACAGCAGGTGAGTGTAGAGTGCAGAGCTGGTGGCGGGAGCCTCAAGCAGCCAGCCGAGTAGCAAGGAGCAGTGTGCAGCTAAGCGGTAAGGAGGGAGCAGGCTGGGCTGAGGGACACCGCCCCCCCCCCGACCCCCATGTATTTCATGCACTGGGCCTCTAGTAGGACAATAAAGTGAATGTCCTTCATACATCATTATCATAGGAACTTTCTATAGTGAAGTAAACATCAGTTAAAGTTTAATTATGAAAGTTGTAAATTAGGGCTTAAGTTAATCTTATTGTGATGACTTCAGTGATTCTTAGCATAGGAAAAACTCTAGCTGACCAGCACTGATGTTCATTCTGAATTGCTGTCTACATGAGACTAGTTTCAGCTATGACTGCCGCTTGAACTCCCCACAGGCTTTGACATTTAATGTTTCAGTACACATCTGTCCTCTGCATAAGGTCTTTATCATCTTCTCTACTTGATAAATGAATGTTTATCCTTCAGGCCTCCATTTCAATCTCCTCTTTTAGTGAAGACTCACTCCTCTGGACTGAGTTAGACCCTTCCTTCACTCTTCTGGTGAACCCCATATCACATTATTTTATGATCATTTGATCAGAGTCCATCTTTCGCACTAGAATGGGAGTTTTCTCTGGGAAAAGATATTTTATGAATCTCCATCCTCTGCACCTAGCACAGGGCCTGGCTAGTTGGTTTTTAGTAGATATTGTCAATTGTTGTGGAAAACCTTAAAGACAGTCTTTAAGTGGTCCATAGCACCTAGTCCTCAGTGTTTTGCATCAGCTAGCTATTGCTGAGTAACAAACAGCTACAACATTACAGTGGCAAACAACAACAAGCATTTGCTCTGCTTGTGCATTTGTTAGGCCACTTGGGAGTTATCTGACATGGGCTGTAATCAGCTGAGTGGCTCTGTGCTATATTCTTGGTCCACATGGTTCTAATCCTTGGACCAGTTGGTATGAGAGGGTAAACCTAACCACTGAAACACATTTTAAGCTCCTGCTAACATCCTGTTGACTAAAGTAAGATACTTGGCTAAGCCTAAGGTCAAAGGGCAGAGAAATATGCTCTTTCTTGGAGGGGGCAAGAGAGGAAAATTCAGATTTGATGTTTTTTTGTTTGGTTTGGTTGGTCAAGATGATGGTGTTGTATACTTTCACGGTTATTTTTAGTAATCACAGTGATGTCTGGTTATTTCTCTCTTTCGGTGATGGTTACCTAGGTTCATGAATTCAGGAAAGGGTTGAAAATGGTGATATTCTACTTCTGTTATTCCTTCTTCATTTATTACTTGGAAAACTACTATAAAGAGAAACTTCCGCCCTAACCGGTTTGGCTCAGTGGGTAGAGCGTCGGCCTGCGGACTGAAGGGTCCCAGGTTCGATTCCGGTCAAGGGCATGTACCTTGGTTGTGGGCAACATCCCCAGTGCGGCGTGTGCAGGAGGCAGCTGATCGATGTTTCTCTCTCATCGATGTTTCTAACTATCCTTCTCCCTTCCTCTCTGTGAAAAAATCAATAAAATATATTTAAAAAAAAAAAAAAACAAACTTCCCCAGATCATCTACTTGGACTCTCAATTACAGTTCATATAGGAAAGACAGAGAAGTACTTGATTCTTTTTTTTTTTTTTAATCCTCACCTGAGGATGTTTTTCCATTGATTTTTAGAGAGAGTGGAAGAGAGAGGGAGAGACAGAGAGAAATATCAATGTGAGACACACACATCGATTGATTGCCTCCTGCATGCATCCCAACCAGAACTCGGGCTGGGGAGGAACCTGCAACCTAGGTACGGGCCCTTGACCAGAATCATACCCAGGAGGGAGCCTTTAGTCGCAGTCCGACATTCTATTCACTGAGCCAAATCGGCTAGGGCAGGGGTGGGCAACCTTTTCGTGAGTGCGTGCCAAAACTAGCAAAATCTCTGACTCAAAATTCTTCTGTATGCCAACCCTAATTTTTTGAGAACATGTTATGCCTACTTGATATCTCTTAAGGTGTATGTATGTGAAGAACCTTGAAAAATAATAAAATTCATTTGAGCGACAAAAACACAGTATATGATGATGAAAAATACATTTATTTTTAATGTATACATGTACACTGATAGTCCGACAGAAAACTTTATGACTCCGTTTGATATTATCAGTGGGACTTTTGCTGCTGCATCACTAATAACAGAGATTTTACATCAGGTTTATATTTCGTGACTTTCAGAGATATGCGCGAGCTACTACTTTCATCCGTCAGGCTACTCCTATTACGAGACTTAACAAAATTCATCACTGAGAACAAAGATTCACGATTGTAAATGGAAGATTATAAGAGAGGGTTTCGCGTGCCAGCAAAAGTTACAGGCGTGCCATGTTTGGCACGCGTGTCAGGGGTTGCCCACCCCTGGGCTAGGGCCTCTTTCTTTGTAGTATTGATTTTCAATACTAACTTGGTTCTCTAGCATCCTTCCATAATCATTAGTGAGGCATTTGAAAAATGTCATGCACTAATGTGTTTCAATTCTATTACATCTGTTATCTTTGTTAATACACACCACGTCCCATCTTTGGCCAATGGACCCTATTCAAATTGGCTCTTGAATACTTTTAATATAACCCTTAATTTTGTATGGCCTTCTTGTTTTCTTGTGTAGGATGTTTCAGGTTCATCTTGTACAGGGTGTGGCAAAAGTAGGTTTACAGCTGTGAGTATATGAAACAGTTTATTTTGGTGTTATTTATTAATTATTATATTGTTTTTCCATACGAACAACTGTAAGCCTACTTTTGCCCCAACCTGTACAGTTCCTGCCATTTTATAACTAAACACAGTGGATGTGGTTGTTGTTAGCAATTTTATTTGCTTGCAGATAAGGGATTCACATTCAAAGCTCTGTCACCCTGAAGAGAGGCTTAGCTATTGCTTATGTACGTGATCTGGTTATGTACACTGAACTTATGTTTATATAATATGATCACAATATTTGGTTTTATTTCAAAGGTTCTGAAGCAAAAACACCTGGATGGTTGTCTACGACATGTATCTGTAAGAAGATTTGAATCATTTAATCTGTTTTCAGTAAAAGAAGCCAAAGGAAGGGAAACTGAAGAGGAATTTGGTGCATGGGTCCAATATACAAGTGTCTTCTACCCTGAATACAGTATTTCCTTAAGGTAAACATCACTCTAGTTAAGATTTTGTTCAAAAAAGCCTCTTTTCAAATAAACTAATAACTATCTATGGATAAAATAAAAAGCCGTTTTCACCTGGCCAGAGTGACTCAGTTGGTTGAGCGTCGTCCTGTGCACCAAAAGCTTGCTGGTTTAATTCCAAGTCAGGACACATGCCTGGGTTTCAGGTTTGATTCCCAGTTGGGGAGCATACAGAAGGTAGCCAATCCATGTTTCTCTTTCACATCAAGGTCCCTTCCTCCCTCCCTCCCTCCCTCCCTCCTTCCCAAGCATGTCCTTGGGTGAGGATTTAAAAAAAAGAAGGCATTTTTCTCTTATAAAAGAGAAACAATAATAACCTCATTGTTCATTCTATTGAGTTTGCAAGCAATCTTTATCAGAAGTTAGGTTTCCTAACTTTGTGTTAAGGAATTCCTGCTGCTTCAATGTGTTCTTGCTGTATTATCAGAAATAAGAAAAAATTTTTCCAAAATGTAGTGACATTTGAGGATAAACTGTGGTGTAAATCAAAGGGTTCATTTAACCATTCTCTCATAGCATTTGATTATGACAAAAAGCCAAGTTCTTTGTGAGGCAAGGAAGGCTGAAAGTGAACACAGAATTTTTCTAAGCTACTCTTCAAGTAGTAGTTATCTAAAAAATCAAGCTTTGGTATTTATTCCATTTATGTTTTGTCATTTTTCAGAATAGAATCTTAAGAATAGGAGGAGAAAATTCAGCTGAAAACACTGATATTGTGAGAAGCATGCAGACTGTTCTGGCTTTAAAAATCATTAGAAAAGAGACAAAAGAGTTGCAAACTGAAGTAGCAAGATACTATTTTTACTGAATTACTTTTCTCTTACAGCTATAATCTAGCATGTTGCAATATTAATTTAGGTGTTTGATATTATAAAATATGCCCCTTTTTTGAACAAGATTTCACATTTTGAAAGGGATGGAGGAGCACATTTACAATAACTATAAGAAGAACAAGAAACATATTAAGCAGAAAAGTGACTGAATAAGGTTTAGGTAAGGCTAAAAATACCTTTAAGAAAAAAAGTTCTCCCAAAGGATGTCTAATTATAGTATACTAGAGGCCTGATGCATGAAATTTGTGCAAGAGTAGGCCTTCTTTCCCCCAGCTGCCAGCACCGGCTTCCCTCTGGCACCCGGGACCCGGGCTTTCCTCCCAAGAAGGATGTCCGGTCTAATTAGCATGTTATGCTTTTATTATTATAGATACTAGAGGAGTGATGGCAAACCTTTTGAGCTCGGTGTGTCAGCATTTTGAAAAACCCTAACTTAACTCTGGTGCCGTGTCACATATAGAAATATTTTGATATTTGCAACCATAGTAAAACAAAGATTTATATTTTTGATATTTATTTTATATATTTAAATGCCATTTAACAAAGAAAAATCAACCAAAAAGATGAGTTCGCGTGTCACCTCTGACATGTGTGTCATAGGTTCACCATCACTGTACTAGAGGCCTGGTGTACAAAAATTTGTGTACTCTGTGGGGGGGGGTCCCTCAGCCCGGCCTGTGCCCTCTCGCAGTCTGGGAACCCTTGGGGAATGTCCACCTGTCAGCTTAGGCCCGCTCCCCGGGGTTTCGGGCCTAAGTTAGCAGTCAGACATTCCTCCGGCAGCCTGGGAGACCTCAGGGGATGCCCGACTGACAGCTTAGACCAGCTCCCCGCGGGGATATCCTTAGCGATGCTGAGGAGGCAGGAGAGGCTCCCACCACCACTGCTGCGCTTGCAGCTGTCAGCCCGACTTGTGGCTGAGTGGAGCTCCCCCTGTGGGAGTGCACTGACCACCAGAGGGCAGCTCCTGCATTGAGTGTCTGACCCCTGATGGTCAGTGCATGTCATAGTGACCAGTCATTCAGCTGTTAGGGTCAATTTGCATATTACCCTTTTATTATATAGGATTCCTTGAACTATTTTAGTTTAATATATTTAAGCTTTAAAGACACCATAATAGCTAAAATTTGGGATTTGGACAAAAATTGACTGGGGTGAGGAGGGAAGAACAACTAGGAACTGGTTTGATAATACTGCTTTATTGAAAATTTCAAATGAAAGAACTTTTGGGTTTGTTAGCTTGCCTGTACATTCTTTGTGAGATTCTAATTAGAACACCTCAATTGCCTCACATTCTAATAGAGATAATTAGTTTAGTCCTTGGTTAAGAAAGAAAGAAAAATGCATTAGATGCTTAGTATGAGCCAGGTACAGAGGGGGGTGCTTTGATGTATTCTAATTCATGTAATCCTTACAATAACTCTGGGAAATAGAAATGAAGATAAACAATTGGAAGATAGTATATATGAGGAAATTAAAGAGAGGGAAAAACAGAGTGATCCAGGGGTCTTCAGGTACAAAATTCTAAAACATATCTTTTACATCCACTGGTGACAAGAGGCAATAAATGTAAACTGTGCCAAGAATAATTTTCTGATGTCTGCAAGGCCCTGGAAAGCATTGCCAGAGAGCATGTGACATCTGTTATTCTTGAGAACTTTCAAAATAAGGTGTGGTTCTCCACCTTGTGTATAGAGATGACCTGGATGTAGCTGGAAGCCAGGCTAGAATGTAAACTGAGACTCCTTTCCAACAGGTTGTGATATATCCAGTTCTGGAAGAAAAAATACGGGTATGTCTATATAACTATGACATTTAATCCTACTTTATGGAGAGAAGAGAGGTGACTGAGCTAAAAATTTGCCCTAGCTTATTTGGCTCAGTGGATAGAACGTCGGCCTGTGGACCGAAGGGTGCCGGGTTCGGTTCCGGTCATGGGCAGGTACCTCAGTAGCAGGCTCCTCCTTGGCCTGGGCCCTGGTCAGATCACATTCAGGAGGCAACCAATCGATGTGTTTCTCTTACACTGATGTTTCTTTCTCTCTTTCCCTTTCTCTTCCATTCTCTCTAAAATCAATGGAAAAATATCCTTGGATGAGGATTAAAAAAATATTTGCCCGAATAACTTAAATGTACACAATTCTAGAACTGAACGTGATCTTAGAATGCATTTAAAAAAGTCATAACAGCATTAATAATGGCTGACTATGGAGTGCCCACTATGTGACAAGCTCTGTTGTGAGTGGTTTACATGTATTAGCTTATTTAATCCTCATAACACCTTATAAGGTAAATACTATTATTATCCTCATTTTACAGATGAAAGTAAGGCCCAGAGAGGTTAAATAACTCCATTGATTATGCCTCTACTCAAACCCTGGTGGTATGGTTCCACAGTCTGCACTTTTAAACACTTATTTTGAAATAATTGCAGACTCTCAGGAAGTTGCAAAAATAGTACAAGGAGCACCCAGCTTAACTTCTACACATCTCGCCTCTTGGGAGGCAATCATGCATCTATTTATTCATTTTTCAGATGAAAGGATTGAGGCCTAGTAAAACCAATTTCCTCATTGATTATTCTGAGTATCCCATTTCTTACTCCATAATTCTGTTACTATATAGGAAATTGCAACAAAAATTACTGACATTGCTTAGGGGAGGATTTCTTACAAGAACAATTCATTCCATTCCATTGCCAATATTGTTCACATGGGTTTCAACACTATGAAATGATTGAAAAAACGTGATGAATAATTTAAAATAAATTCAAATAAAAAATATTTATTAGCACCTTCTGTGTAGGTAAACAAAAAGAAATATAAGATATATTATCCTCAAGGGGCTTAAATAAGTGAAAAGTTAAATAATAAAAAATAATTAAGCCATGGCCAGTGTGACTCAGTGGTACAGCATTGGCCCTGGTCATTGGTTCAATTCCCAGTCAAGGGCACATACCTGGGTTGCTGGTTCATTTGCCAGCCTGGTCGAGGTTTGTATGGGAGGCAACACATCGGCGTTTCTCTCTCCCTCCCTCCACCCATTCCTTCCTTCCCTTCTTTCTACTCTCTAAAAATCAATGGAAAAAATACCCTCAGGTGAAGATTAACAAAATTTTTTTAAAATAATAATTAAATAAGAAGGAAAGTTAAGTTAAACATCTATTCTAAGAATTATCACCAGGCAGTGCATAACTAATTACCAAATGGGTGGAAAACTTCACGCATATTAGGAGTTTAGGGTATAAGTGATTTTGAAGGCCTTGAGGAGTAGCAGTTTAAACTGGATCTGGAAGTATTTGAACATTCTGGGAGAATGGAAGAAATCATTCCCAATGAGGGGAAAGGCACTAGAAAACATAGCAGTCAGCAAGTACAAGGCATAATCATCAGAGGCTACTGAGAAGACCACCGTCTCTATGGGGAGGAATGGTGATCAATGCATGTTATAATGTGGATTGGCTTCTGGGTTCTAATAAAGGGTTGAGCATTTGGGATGTTTTATTCCTCACAGATCATAAATATTAACAGAGATGATGTATATATGGTAATTGATATGGTAATTAATACCAATGTTTTTATTAGTCTTATCCTTAAAATTTCCCTACATATTGATTTCTGTTACTTTAAAGTTTTTTTTGTTTGTTTTTGTAAAGTTTTACTCGACTTGAAATCAATACTCCAAGGAGGTAAATACTTAGACAATTTAGATATTTTTGAATTCAAAATACATAGGTGTATCTTTTTTATACTATTACAAGGTTTATAAGCAGTGATCCACATTAAAACTTTGACCATTATTTTCTGTCAGCTTTACATGATGATTCTTAAAAAGAAAGAATAAAGAATTTCCCTTGGTAAGTTTTCATCAGAAGCAAAAGTCTGGACAATGTAAACATTAGGTTATGAAATCCCCAAGATCTGTTGTCTTTTCCAAATATCTGAGAACGGTCGACTCTTTGTTCTAAAGTGTGTATTGAGAATTTGGAAATCAAATTTTGGGACATGACTTGTATTTTATTCCTTGGCAAAATCTTCTTGTCTTTCTGGTGCTTTATTTCTTAGAACTTTATAGAAGAGGCTTTTGCTATTGGATAGATGCATGTACAGGAAACTAATATATAGTAGGAGACGTTTATACTAAAAATCTTCCATTAAAAATTCTTTCTCCCAGATTTATAAGCTGGAATCTGTTTTCATACAGAATTTACTGTATAGATACTAGAAATTGTTCCCCACTCCCCCATGTGTCAACTTATTTTTAGTGTAGTAGGAATTTATATATTCTGAAAGCTTTACAATACTTCCATTATATTTGGAACCATAGAATTGCCTGAAATATTCATTTATAAATATGTACATGTTTTAGGTATAGAAAAAGCTGAGAGGCTTAACTGTCCTCCTTTCTTTGAATAAGACTCCTGTTGCTATGGTAATTTGCTGAATTAGAAAACTCTTGACTTTCGGCTTGTCCTAGGAGCTTAGAATGGGCAAGAGGTCAAGAATGACTTTGTCTTTGTGATGCATCTTTCTAGTAAAACAAATATACTGCAGCAAGATCATATATTGCTTCTCTAGGGAAAGGAAAAACATAAAGCAAATCCTCACCCCACTGAATTTAGTAAGTATCCTGTGAGTGCTCAGTAGATAAAAAATAGTGATGGGAATGGTATGCTTACGGTATTAGATGTATGGCATCCTTATATGTGTGGATATTATAGGTGCCCATGTAAAGCTTGGCAAGGCTGGCATCTGAGGCAAACATGAACACTGAAGTTACATTTAAAAAGTATAGTTTTAATGTTAGTAGTATGAATCCTGAGAAAGAAGATACTTAAAAAGGGCTGCCATTGGCGAACTGGGCTCAAATTCAAAAACAAAACAAAACAAAACAGCCTAGCAGCCATTTAATATATATATATTAATTTGAGAGAGAGAGAGAGAGAGAGAGAGAGAGAGAGAGAGAGAGAGAAACATCAATGATAGAATCATTGATTGGCTGCCTCCTACACGCCCCACAGTGGGGATCAAGCCCGAAACCTGGGCATATGCCCTGCCTGGGAATCTAATGGAATTGAATCTCCTGGTTTGTAGGTCAATGCTCAACCACTGAGCCATGCTGGCTGGGCTTAAGGAACCATATATTATGGCTCCTATATTTAGGAAAAAATGTTTTTGATTTTTATGCTGTATTGCTGATAATTTTAATAGCTTCATCTTGTATTTAGATGCTCAATATGTTTTTCGTTTTCTCTCTTGTCTCACGTGTGGTTTTCCATGTTAGCATAAATACTAGTAACCTCAGCTTGCATGCACAAAGAAGGTACAGAATCATTGTGTTATGGTGTTGAAAGTTTGATTTGTGGTTGGTAACTTCATTACCTTAAAATATGATTCTGTTGAGCCCAATGCTTATTTGGCAAATAACTTTTTGCATTTTCACTTAGTCACTCTATCAAAGAACTGGGTCTCTGTGATAAAAGTGAAGTTTTTTTTAGAAGTGTGATACAGTTTACATGTATTCTCGTACTACATGCATTAGTTTTCTAGGGATCCTAAAACAAAATGCTGCAGACTGGACAGCTTAAAGAATACATTTATTTTCTCAGTTTTGGGTCTAGACATCTGAGATAAAGCGGTTGCAGGTCTGGTTTCCGTCCAGGCCTCTCTCCTTACCTCGCCATGGCTGCCCTCTTGCTGTCTCTTCAGTAGTTCCTCTGTGCATGTGCCCTGTAGTCTGTGTTCTAATCTCCTTTTTTTTTTTTTTTATAAGGACCCAAGTCATAATGGATTAGGGCCCACCCTAAAGACCCCAATTTAATTTAATTACCTTTTTAAAAAAATATATTTTATTGATTTTTTACAGAGAGGAAGAGAAAGGGATAGAGGGTTAGAAACATGGATGAGAGAGAAACATCCATCAGCCGCCTCCTGCACAACCACTACTGGGGATGTGCCCGCAACCAAGGTACATGCCCTTGACCGGAATCGAACCTGGGACCTTTCCGTCTGCAGGCCGACGCTCTATCCATTGAGCCAAACTGGTTACGGCTAATTACCTCTTTAAAGGCCCAATCTCCGAAATTCTGAGGTACCAGGGTTTAGAAGTTCAACAAATCAATTTTGGGAAAGATACAATTCATTTCATAACACTATATATCATTTATGATAAGTTTTAATGACAAAGTTAAAGTAGTGTTGTAAATTTTATTATAAATGGTTATTGTAAATTGTTATAATACCTTAAAGAACTATAGGTTTAAGGCATATAGAGTAGTATGTAGAAGATTGCATTAGCACCAATATTTTACCAACCCTAGAAAAGCAACTCAAACTCTATGACCTATTATTGACTGTTGGGTCCATTTGTATGTGAAGAATAGTATCTTTTATAAGGATGAATAAAATATTAGTAATTAAATTAAACATTTAAAGGGTTTTCAAGTGAAGAGAGATTAGAATTAAAGAGAGTGGAATTAAGATTAGTGGGCAAAAGATACAAAGAATTTGCCCTCTGACATTTATAATTCCCTATAGATGGAACATGCAGACCTGAAGGTTGGTTAGTTCCTTGTGACTGAAGTTCTGAATTCTTTGGGTTGTTATAAAGTACATTTATGTATTGTTGAGGTTCTGGAGGTTGATTGCTTATTTTCCTTTTGAGATTCTCCAAGTGTAAGGTTTTGTTATCTTTAGAGAGGTTAATAATTGCCCTAGCCAGTTTGGCTCGGTGGAGAGAGTGTCGGCCTGTGGACCAAAGGATCCCGAGTTTGATTCCAGTCAAGGCACGTGCCTCCATTGCAGGTTCCTCCCTGGTCTGTGCTCTGGTTGGAGCATGTGCAGGAGACAACCAATCCATGTGTTTCTCTCACACTAATATTTCTCTGTCTTTCCCTCTCTCTTCCACTCTCTCTAAAAATCAATGGAAAAATAGCCTAGGGTGAGGATTTTAAAAAAAGGTTAATAATTAATTCCACCTTTATATAACTAAAACAACAATAAAAATATTAGTACTTTAAAATGTAGATCAAGCATCAGGAACTGTTATTTCATTAAATATTAGGAGGACTATATTCTGTTATTTCTTTTCCTTCTCCCTCTAGTGGGCAGAAATATTTTAAAAATACAATATGGAAAGGTTTGTTAGTATTGGGTGTATCACTTTTTTTTTTTTTTTTAAAGCAAATCTTAATGTTCCAGAATCATTAAAGAAAATGTTTTATTCCTTTCTAGGCATAATAGTGGATCTTTGAATATTGAAGATGTTCTTACCAGCTTTGACAATACAGGAAATGTTTGTAAGTTATATGATCACTACGTAGAAATAGTTTGTGTTTTAAAAAGTGAATTTATAATTGGTGTTTGTTCTCACCAATGTTTGTTTATACTGACTAATGTGTGTGTATAATAGAAACTCTTACAGTTTCAGCTGCAAAATGAACCTCCTATACAATGCGCCTACGAAGTGGGATAAGGCAGTTTTACACTTGGCAGTTGTGGGTGTGAGAGCGAATGTAGGTCAGAGGAATCCTGGACTCTCCAGTACTGTCCCCTTGTTTCTTCCTTTCATTTTGACCTTCTCAGTCAATCCAACAAAGGGGCTGTCTCTTCTTTGTTGTGGTTCGGGTGCTTTCTTTTCCACTTCCTGCTTCTTTTCTCTCACTACAGAATGAAACCAGAACATTTTCCCTTGCTGTTAGTGTACTTTAATACCAGAATGTTTTTGTTTTATGCAGTATTATGCTATTATAGAATATATTGCTGTTTTCATCTAAGCCTGTAAGTCGTGATTTCTCCATTGAGAAAATCATTTAAATCATTATAAAGTCATATGATTAAAGAAATTAAAAAAATCTTTATATCATTGCACCAAATAGCATACCATGATAGAAGCTAGGTACCCCTTCATGTGTATTGCTTAGGATAGTTCTCTTAAGATAATGAATTATCAATGTGATGTGACAGTTGTAAATGTTAAAAATTGTACTCAAATACCTTTTTTCTCAAAGGAAATTTCAGAACTGTAACTACTTATTGTCGGAACTAAAACAATTTTCCTTGCTAATAGTATTGCTTTATTAAATTCCCTAATTTTAGGTCTGCATAGAATAATGTCATATTCTATGCACCACATTATGGCAAACTTTTCATGTATAGAAAAATATGCATTTTGTCACTAAGGATTTTATAAATATCCTCAGGAATCCTAAAATATTTAAAATTATGTAAGTTTATTTTTCATGGATATCTTTTCGTTTCTACATGTTGGCACTTCCTGAATTGTTTCCTATTTAGGCATATCTCACATTTTTATTGGGGTTTTAGGCAAGGACAGGCCAAGGGATGCTAATGGTGGCTGAGGAGGCATCCTCCTTTAATTCTGGGGTAATGTAAAATATCATTAAGTCAGGCTTATGCATTTAGGAACATGATTGGAGAGTGTTAAATATGGAAATTTTGATTGAGTAGTGTAAAAATAAAATATTGTTCCCCGTGACTCAGTATAAAACAGGGCCACTAGCTGGCAGCATTATGTAAAACAAAAATATTTTCCTAAAGGTCCAAGCTATTACTTTATATATTGATTAGCTGTCTTATACTGTTCTAACATTTTTTCCTATCAGCTGCCCCCACCCCTTAAACCCTCACTTGTCTGCATAGAATAATGTCTGCATAGACTATGCACTTCATTTGTTGCATTGACAAAGGGAGAAATTTCATGTTGAAAGTATTTCTTCACTGCTGTCTATTGTTTGGTAGTAAGATTTGAGTCTTTGGAATGAGACCTACTTACATTTGAATCTTGGTTCTGAAATTCATCTTGAGCAATTTATATCATTTCCATGAGCCACAATTTTTAAAAAATCTCTTGGAACTGGATATAATGTATAGAAAGTGTGTAATATATATTGCATTTTCATAGTGGACACTATAGAGTTTATTATTACTGTGATGAGTATCTCTAAAATTTTTCAGTTTTTTTTCTAATAATGAAGATAATATTAAGAGTTATTCTGATGTTTTAAAATAACTATTTTGATAGAACTAATAAGGCAGGAAAAATAAATGACCAAAATAGTAATTTGTTAAAATGTCTTGCCATAAATGTGGCCTTCAAATCCTGAATATTCCAAGTGATAGAAGTGGTGACAAAAATAAGACCTGTTAAAACATGTTGTTTAGTGTAACTTTTACATTACACTCTTTTTATTTTAAAAGAAAAATCTATACTGATATTTTGCTTAATGAAAAAAATTGGTTACAATAAAGTAAGGATTGATTATAATTTTTATATAGTCTTTGCCAAGGCTTAAAACGATCAAGGATTAAAAAAATACTTTTTCAGATTTTTTTTCTTCTTTAAATTAATCACTCAACTATTTGATTTTACACTAATTGTGATTTTAGGTTGAGTTTGTGAAAACCCAGCAGAGGGCGCCACATCATAATTCTGTCTCACTGCTCAACATACTTGGATTAATAATTTGAATAATAAATAAGCTTTCATCATATAAACATATAAAAACATATGTCTAAACATTTCCATTTGACTTGTTTTTATATATTTACTATATTCAGGAACTCATTAATGTAAAAAATAGATTTTTCTGACCAATTTTTTAGTTTATTTGCTTTTTTGTTTTAAATAGTTGAATTTTTATACTTATAGCTTCAAATAGAGGAATATTTTTGAACATTGTTAATATTGATATATAGAGAAAGTCCTATATAAGAATATCAATTCCTAAATCATCACCATAGTAGTACATTGATAGTAAGTATACTGAGGGATGTTTAGAATGAGGAAAAAAGTTTCTAATATTGTGAGAGAACCAATACAGAGAATTATCCATATATTTCAGGAATTAGTTTCCAGGTTAATATAGCTTCCTGATAATAGAAAGAATAACGTAATTAAAATATTTTATAGTTACAAAAGTCTGACGTTTTATAAAATATATTCATGGTTTGTATAACCCTTAATCTCAACTTTCAGGTATTTTTAAAAACAAGTAATGATTTTGTTCATTGTAAATTTTCAAAGAGTGGAGAATCATTCTTCCTGAATTTGTTCATTCTCTAATTAAAAGGATATGAGAAAATCCTTAATTTTAGAAAATAAATGAAACCTCTATCAGTGGTTCTCAACCTTCTGGCCCTTTAAATACAGTTCCTTATGTTGTGACCCCCAACCATAAAATTATTTTCGTTGCTACTTCATAACTGTAATATTGCTACTGTTATGAATCGTAATGTAAATATCTGATACAGGATGGTCTTAGGCGACCCCTGTGAAAGGGTCGTTCGACCTCCAAAGGGGTCGCGACCCACAGGTTGAGAACCGCTGCTCTAGAGAGTTTCTTGTTTCCTGATATATTAGAAGACATTATTTATATTTACCTTTATTATTTAAAAATGTATGTTTTTAAATGTATGACCTGTTTTATATTTTTGAGGTACCTTTCACCGTTTAAATTCATTTGAATGTCATAGGAAGAAATGAATTTTCCACAGTAATTTTGCATGATTCATTGCTCTATAGAATATGACCCCGGTCTTATCTTTATATATGTTTGCTATTGTGGAAAACAAATTATTTTTAAAGGTAAGCTCTTTTGTGCTTACCTCCAACCATATGGGTGGGTATATATATTTTATTATTTGAGTTCTACTACTTGAGAAACTACTTCCTTTTAAAATATCAGAGTTACTCTGTGGAGAGGTTGTATGCTCTATTGATTCATCGTGCCTGGAAAGAGATGCCATCAAGCTGCCTAGGGGAAAGTATAGGATGACATCCTTCACCTGAAACGAGGTGCTGGCTGCTTCTGTGTTTCATGTAACATGTACAGTACTTTGGGTCAGAGGGTACTTTGCTAGCACCACAGCAGATCTCTTGCTTCTGTTTTCTCTGTGGGTAGGATCTCCATTCCAGCCAGTCCCTGACCTCTAATCAAAGAAACCCCATCATGCTATGTCTTTTCCAAAACAATTTTCTCTTTCTCCAAAGTCATCTCTTTCCTCTACTGAAATGATTTTTTTTAACCAGTTAACTGCCACATGTCCAAAACGGAAACCATCCCTACATGCCACGATATTTTGAATTTAATTAAAAAAATCAATTTGCAATGAGTATTATAAAAATAAACATATTACTCACAATTCGGGTGTCCTTGAATATTTTCAGCTGAAAATTCTCTCACGAAAAATGATTTTAAAGTTGGTCAGGGCTGCCACTTAGGGAAAGCATTTTTATTTTATAGATGTGCATGGCGTGTGGGGAAGGTCCCCTGCTTGCGTCTACAGATGCTTATGGCATAAAAAGAGATTCTGTTTTGCACTTTGTTGATGCAAATTTGGCCGTCATATATACAGTGCAACTACATCTTTGGTATTTGGTGTATAATAGCTTCATTTGTATTTTTTTTTTAGCACACGGTTCTCTTCTGGCAGCATAAACAGTTAATACTTCTCATACCATGTGTTGTATGTAATATATACAATATAATGCGTATAAGCCTTTAAAGGATAGGAAATCAAAAGTTATTATATATCATTGCAGTAACCTAATATGAATCAGGATTTTTGGCTAACACTGCAGCTTAAATTTGGGGAAATGTATTGGTAAGATTCCTTCAGCTATTCTCTTCCCCCTCCTTTTTTTAAAAATATATTTTTATTGATTTCAAAGAGGAAGGGAGAGGGAGAGTGAGATAGATACATCAATGATGAGAGAGAATCATTGATTGCCTGCCTCCTGCACGCCCCACACTGGGGATCGTGCCTGCGACCCAGGCATGTGCCCCTGACTGGAATTGAACCTGGGACCCTTCAATCTGCAGGCTGATGCTCTATCCACTGAGCAAAACCAGCTAGGGCTCCCTCCCACCCCCCCTGCCCCCCTTTTTTGTATTTTTGCTTTTTTCCCCTTTTTAAACAATTTTCTTTCTTTTTTATTGTCCTGCTATTCTGTGCAAAAATATTGTTTTTCTCTTGGCCGGGCTACATGACAGTACTCTGTGTGTCATTAGTGTCTCCTGGAGAAATTTGTAGATCCTCTGCCTTATATACTTTTACATGTGATAGTGTGACACTACCACCCCGCCCTTCTCACCCTCACCCCTGTGAATCCTAGGGTTGACCTGGACTTTTAATGCACACAGCTACATTCTCCTATTTCTAGATCCTTCTTAGTGGTCTGATAGCAAAACCTGTTTTGTGATGTATCCAAAGCTGATCTCCTTTGGGTTTGTAGTCAATTAATTATTACTTAAGGAAATATTCTTATTAAAATACA